ATGGAATGGATTCTGCACCACATGCATAAGAGCGGCAGGAGGAGACCATGAAGAGGGAACGTTTTAATCATTGTTTTAAAGTATTTTACTGGGACATTTGAGTTTTCATCATTTAGATATAAAATACTTTTTCATATTAAATAAAAAACACTTAACTGACTAAACAACCAGCCACAATATTGGGTTTAATTAAAACCATAACAGGAAGCTGTTGCTTGCCAGTGACATCAGCTCCCTGTGCACGGGGGGACAGATACCAATACAAACAGGTATGTTTCCTAGTTAAGCCAGTTGTAGCAAGATTAAATCTCTCATCTTGCTTTTTATAATGAAGAAACAGCTTGAACATGTCTCAGTCTTTTATCACACGACGAATGACAGTAAAAAACACACAAACTAATTTAATCTTTTGATCAAAACCTTACCGTATTGCCAACATTGTCTTTTGTGTAAATAGTGTAAAGAGGAGAAAGTCAGTGTGAGCCTGTTTGTCTATGTAACAGAAAACAAGGCAACCTGAGTAGAACCATTTTACGCATATATCTCCATGTTACAGGTTTTTTAATGGCGCTGTTACAGTGACAAAAAACACAAAGGTATTAAGTGTCTGATGTAGAACAGAGAATGAAGATGGACCATTACTTTGGGTGAAAAAAGGTCAAAATAACAGGTCTTAGTTGTGTGACATCAGCTCTGCGCTTAATCAATCACTCTTTCCCACTCGCAAGATGGATGAGAGGAAGCAGCGCTACAGATAGATCATTGTTTTCACTGGCAGCAGCAGCAGCAGGACATAATGAATCCCATGCTTGCTGAGAGGTCAGAGTAGAGAGGGTTTCTCTACCCCTTGGGCACCACTTTATCCCCCTGCCCCCTCCAATAAAGACATCCATGCATGACAGTAAGGAGTTTCAGTTTGCTTCAGACAGTCTTGGAGGAACAGATGGGGTTATAACAAAGTGAAGAGGGGAGATGTCGCCGCCAGTAATGCGACCACCTGGCTGTGATAAGACTAAAGCTGGATCAGCTTGTTGTTGTCAAAGCTTAACACTTGTTGAAAAAAGGTTCAAAGACCACTTTTATCTTTCAGTGAAAAAATAAAGTCAGAGAACCTGAGGCAAAAGAAGAATTATGCGGTTAATTTGCATATAAACTTAACGGAAATTGGCTTAAACTAGTGAAGGCAACTTGACAACAAGGGATCAGAAAGTGTTGGTGTGTTGCAGTTCTATGCTTCTGCTCACATGCATAAAATTGTACTTTTCCTGCATCTTTATAATTTAACAAAGGTTGGAGAGAAATGAATCGTTGCTGTTTTTGATGCATATCATAAAAGTATAGAAATTTATCATGAAACCCATCTTCAGTTTCTATCATATCAAATATTATTGCCGACGGCAGCAGAAATATAGTCCTACACATTTAAAGCACACTTCAAGGAAATGAAAACTATTGCATTTTTTAATATGATACTTGCCATTTAGCAGCAAATGCAAAGCAAGCAAACATTTAGCAGGATGTTAACATTCTTAGACTCTTTCTCTGCTTAACTAGTCCATAGTTTGTCAGATCTAAGGGACAACAGGCCTTGTGTTAGGATTTACTTTGGCAGGTCAGGCAAAAATGATGATAGTTTATGCCTCTGTTAGCATCAGAAGAGTAAAACCCAGTAAAAGCCTAATACAAAAGCTTAGAACCAGTGTTCTTTAACCGAGATAACTGTTGAGTGTAAATGGCATGCATAACTGAAGCGGACCATGCCAGACACAACCGAACCGTGCTCTGATAACAAAGAGCGCATGAGCAGACAATGTCATCTCCTTACAGTCAGCCTCCGTAATCATAAAATTTCAGACATTCATAAAAATACTAGCTTCCCTATAGTGCCACACTTATGCCACTTATTAGACTATCGTTAGCCGTATCCTATTCCAAAAAGCCGACTCTATCAAGTAAATTCACAAAAGGCTGCCTTCTTCGCCTGACTCTCCGTAAACAACGAAATATCACAATTATAACCAAACTTCCTGTATGTTACGGGCGGTGCCATGTTGATTTGCTTGTTTACCTCTAGAGAGCAGTAGTACCGTAGATCGTCACTGGGATGGTAAATGGCCTGTACTTATATAGCGCCTTTTTTCAAGTCAGGAGACTTGACCAAAGCGCTTTACACTACATTCAGTCATTCACCCATTCACGCACACACTCACATACTGATGGTGGTAAGCTACATTGTAGCCACAGCTACCCTGGGGCTCACTGACAGAAGCGGGGCTGCCGTACACTGGCGCCACCGGGCCCTCTGACCACCACAAGTAGACAATGCAGGTGAAGTGTCTTGCCCAAGGACACAACAACACTGAAAGTCAGAGCCGGGGCTTGAACAGTCAATCCTTCGATTTTGAGGGCAAACTATTCGCGAGGAACTGCGCTAGCGTGCTGTGTAAATGGTTGGAAGGAACCAAGCTTGGAGCTGTTAACTGATCAAAGCTCGATCTGACATCGGTTTTCAGAGGGTAGTGGAAATGGGGTTTAGTTATTAGAGTTGCACGGGTCAATTGGCAGTGCTCAGTGCCAGTTATCATTGAGTTTTTTCTGAGTGGCCAGACACACATCTTTCTCTTGGTCTACTTGGTCTAGGTTTAGCGGCCAAAAAAGTAACCGGCAACTGTCTCGATATTAAACAGTCTCCCTTCAGGTCTTGGAATCTGATAGTAGACCACATTGGACAAGATAATTAAGAATTTATGGAGTTACTTTAGAGACGAGGCCTCTAAAATAAATCCCGCATTAGAAAACCAAAATATAGGGGAGTACCAGTACACCTTTATAATTTCTAATACAATACTGATATAGCACCCTTTTTTCATCATTATCTTCATTCTCCCATTCTGCAGAATTTGTAACTTCAATCTCCAACACTATGCTCCCTTTGCTTTTTTCTAATAGTGGCTTCATCTGGTCTAATTCTGTTTGGCTGTGACTCCATCCTGGGGAGGGTTGTCGGCTGTGACGCTGCTATCAACGCCTTTGTTTGTGGATGTTGGAGCTTTGCCTGTTTTAGAGTGTAGTCCTGTTTCTCTGACTGTTACTGGCTGGATGTGCTTGTCTGCCTGTTTTTGTGTTTCCTGGAAGAGGCCGCCTGTGAAACTGATTGAGCCTGGTTCTGCTGGAGGTTTCTTCCTGTTAAAAGAGAGTTTTTCCTCTCCACTATCGCTACAAGCTTGCTTATTGTGAGGGATTGCCTTCAAGTTATTGAGTCGATGCAATCAGCTGGTTTTCCTTAGATAGAAAACTTTGAATCAGTTCAACGGTATGATCTGGCTGAATTATCTCTGTAAAGTGACTTGAGATGACATGTATTGTGAACTGGCACTATATAATAAACCAAATTAAATTGAAATTAATTATTTACTGATGCTGATATTGAACAGATACAATGTCAGCATGAATTATACATACTTTTAAGTATGTATGATTACCTTGTAGTGTTGCGTGTTTAGCAGGGCTTGAGCAGTGACATTACTCAAAGAACAGCAAACAACAACAACGGGTAAAAGAGTGGCGGCCAAGTGGTTGCATAGGGCTTGGATTCCTGAGGTTGTGAGTTTGAAACCCACTCCCATGGACTGCCACTCTGGCTTCCAGAGAAAGACCCCACACTGCTTCCCGGGCACCACACAATGGCAGCCCACTGCTCCCCTAGAGGATAATTTAAATGTAGAGAATTTATTTTGTTGCTCTGTACTTGTGACTACGGTGGCCGACAGGTGCAAATGCGCAGCAAAAGAGAAAACATGCAAACAAAAAAAAAGACACGCTCACAAATTAAATGCGGCAAACAAAAAGCAAATAAAATGCAGCAAACAAAAAAGAAGACACCCCCGAATGAAATGCAGCAAACAAAATGAGAGACGCAAACAAAAAAGAAGACACCCCCGAATGAAATGCAGCAAACAAAAAAGAAAACACCCCCGAATGAAATGCAGCAAACAAAAAGTGTTGAAAACGGAAGTGCTCCAGACCACTAGGGGGAGTCAAAGAAAATAGTATTCATTTCTATGGGACCAGATGCAAGATTCAGAGAAAGATATTTGAAAGAAAGTAAAGATACGTATTACTATATTTCTTTTTAGATACGCCGTCTTTTATAATATTATAGAATAACAGAATAATTTATGGGTAGCGTGATAGACTTTGTGTCAGTCATACCGTTCTGGGCTCGGTCTCGTAGATGCTTGCCCGAGTTAGCAAAGCAATTATGCTAATGCTAATCATAATCAGATAGATAGATAGATAGATAGATAGATAGATAGATAGATAGATAGATAGATAGATAGATAGATAGATAGATAGATAGATAGATAGATAGATAGATAGATAGATAGATAGATAGATAGATAGATAGATAGATAGATAGATAGATAGATAGATAGATAGATAGATAGATAGATAGATAGATAGATAGATAGATAGATAGATAGATAGATAGATAGATAGATAGATAGATAGATAGATAGATAGATAGATAGATAGATAGATAGATAGATAGTGAATTCGATTTACGCTTTTAACTTTCGTATTTTTATCTTTTTTTGATTGCTCTTATTTTTTCACAGTGACTCTGTGAAGTATTATCCTCTATAATGAGGTATTTTTCGGGGAGGTTCTGTGCTTTTTTGTGCTGTTTTTATCATGCTGCTCCCACCGGGACACGCTGCCTTTGTTTACTCCAGAGAACAGCTGATCGCTCTAATGCCGGCCGGCGTTTTAGCCAGACAGCTGGAATACCACCCGAACTCTGGAGGAAAACACGCCGTGGTTGCAGAGGAGGAAAACAACATTATCACTTTACTTGGATTTATCACTTTAATTGGACTTTTCACTTTATTTGGATTTAGTTTTTACATATGCATAGATATACGTACAGATATATATACAGTAGAGCTATATGTGTATATATATTTTATCTCTGTTTATTCTTATTTTTTAAAATCTTTATTATATTGTATAGTTGGATGTGTGTATATATCATGTAAAACTGTAACTGGAGCGTGTAACAAAAGTAATTTCCCTCTGGGATTATTAAAGTATTTCTGATTCTGATTTACCTTTTTTAGGTGGCCATGTTTTGCTGTTTCTGTGGACAAAATCTAGGAACAATTCAAGTTTTCTGTTTTTCATGTGGGAAGAATGTGCAGATCTTGGCACAAGCTCAAGACACTGGTAAGCAGTGATGGCATAGTTACTTGTAAAAATTAACTTTAATCGATTACTTATTACTACTTGAAAAAGTAGATTAGTGATTACTTTTTTTGGAAATTTACTAAGTTACATTTTTTTTTTTCTCCACCACTTGTGAAAAGCTTGAGCGTTGCCAGCCATATGTATGGCTCCTCAACAGCCAACCAACGCATCGAAAGCTGGTGGTCATATTTCAGAAAACAAAGGTGAGTTTGTCAACAGTTTATTGTAATTTTTGTATAAATACCAAGTAGTAGACCTTGAAAAGGTGAATAAATTTAGTAGTCTTCTTGGATAAGCAAACATTTCAAATTTTTAATGCAAAATTTTACTCGATTACCTCTACTTTGTCAGAAGAAATGAAGTACTTGCATATCTCTTAATGACCATTATGTTTTTGTGCTATATACAACTTAATTTTATAGTTTAACATTTGATATGGATGAATCAGAAGCTCAACATTTAAAGTATAACAGTTGATGTCTGCTTACTTTATATTTAACTTTGTAGGTCAACATATATTTAACTATTTTCATGACATAGAAACTAGTCCTATTACTTTCTGCTGATATAATTATCTTATAATTTTGGTTTATTGTAGATCTCAGTTCTGGATGGATCTCATGAACGATTTGAAGGAAAGACATCTCTTCAATGGAAGTCATGAGCACACATGCCTTGTGCGGTTTGTCTTCATGGATATGCTACAGAGAGATCTTGATGAATGCAAGAACAGGTGGCATAAACATACCATAAGACCTGTTAAACAATCTTGCTGTCCATCTGGTAAACCAGATCTGATGTATCATCTACCTCACAGGTAATTTTTGTTGTTTTTGTCTTCACCATCTGGTTAATTTAAAACCTCTTTGGGAACTCTAAAACATAATTTGCCAAAACAAAAATAATGAACAATGTGTTAACAGTATGTCACTTTTTATTCTAACAATTTCAGATGACAATTTCTAAAATGTAAATTTAAATACAATTAATCATTTAGACAGGTTATAACAATAGTCAGAGCAGTAACAGTTTAGTGAAGAAATGTAAATATAACTAAATGTTTCCTGTTTCTTCTATTCCTAGGTTTGGTGGAACAGACTGTGGTTTCCTAGTTTCCCAGGAGCCATTCGGACAGTTTGTGACAGAGACTAACAACATTCAATGTGGAGATGAACACCTTCAGGCACATTTTGAGAACCTCCAGAGACAGTGTGGCCTAGCACATCCACAGAGTTGGGAATCATGTGTCGAAAACTATATCAAACTGAAAAACATGGTGGACTTATAAACAAACAAGAATCCAAATTTGAAGGTCGCACACAAACAGTAAACAGTGTCATAATAACTGAACAGGTTTGACAAGTTAAATAGATAGCATTTTGTTTTGTTATGCATTTGACCTTAATAAAGCCCAAACCCAGGGGAGTTTTGAATCCCAAAGTCCATGTCTTCTTTAAACTGATGATACGTCTTGGACATTGGTATTTTGATAGTGTTGGAGCAGGTGCTACTGACAGGAAAACGAGAAGTGGCCTGAAAGATCAGTTTTGGTGGTGGCAGAATTGAAGATGGAGGTAGTGTGTTCAAGCCGGTGGCAAACATCAGGACGTCCTGGAGAGAGAAACCCGTTTTTTGTTCTAGAAAAGAAGCAATGAGTTTATGTATCAGATATTACAATAACACCAGAATATAGCAATAAATCTTAAAGTCCTCCTTCTGCGTCAAGGAGAAAGTCTCTCCAGAATTCTAGCACTCTTGTTTCCTCATGTCGTCTGCTGCTACCCTTTTCACTGAGCTGAACCTCAAATATTTCCTCCAATATTTTGGATGTCAGCTGTTCCACTCTTGCACGCATAAATGGCCTGAAGATGGAAGCATGCTGCTCCAAAGCATTCTGGAAGTTCAGTGTTGAAAGGCCATCCTTGAATCTATAAAAAGTTTGAAACAGAAATCACCTTAATTATTATCAAAAGAGCTGATATTTTTCAGTAACAGAAAGAACATTAATATGTCTAATCTATTTTTATTATTTTTATTTAGCATAGGTAATATTGCTGATGCACTGTGTGTGTGTGTGTAGATGTGTGTGTGTGAGTGTGTGGGTGCTGTTGTAACCATTAATCTCCCGTTCAGTTCAACCTTATAAGCGGAGATACATACTTGATATTACTATAATTAAATAACTTGCAATTAATTATTTGCAACGTTCAAGCTTTTCACAAGTGGTGGAGAAAAAAAATAAATAATGTAACTTAGTGAATTTCCAAAAAAAGTAATCACTAATCTACTTTTTCAAGTAGTAATAAGTAATCGATTAAAGTTAATTTTTACAAGTAACTATGCCATCACTGCTTACCAGTGTCTTGAGCTTGTGCCAAGATCTGCACATTCTTCCCACATGAAAAACAGAAAACTTGAATTGTTCCTAGATTTTGTCCACAGAAACAGCAAAACATGGCCACCTAAAAAAGGTAGATCAGAATCAGAAATACTTTAATAATCCCAGAGGGAAATTACTTTTGTTACACGCTCCAGTTACAGTTTTACATGATATATACACACATCCAACTATACAATATAATAAAGATAAAAAATAAGAATAAACAGAGATAAAATATATATACACATATAGCTCTTCTGTATATATATCTGTACGTATATCTATGCATATGTAAAAACTAAATCCAAATAAAGTGAAAAGTCCAATTAAAGTGATAAATCCAAGTAAAGTGATAATGTTGTTTTCCTCCTCTGCAACCACGGCGTGTTTTCCTCCAGAGTTCGGGTGGTATTCCAGCTGTCTGGCTAAAACGCCGGCCGGCATTAGAGCGATCAGCTGTTCTCTGGAGTAAACAAAGGCAGCGTGTCCCGGTGGGAGCAGCATGATAAAAACAGCACAAAAAAGCACAGAACCTCCCCGAAAAATACCTCATTATAGAGGATAATACTTCACAGAGTCACTGTGAAAAAATAAGAGCAATCAAAAAAAGATAAAAATACGAAAGTTAAAAGCGTAAATCGAATTCACTATCTATCTATCTATCTATCTATCTATCTATCTATCTAACGGTATGACTGACACAAAGTCTATCACGCTACCCATACATTATTCTGTTATTCTGTAATATTATAAAAGACGGCGTATCTAAAAAGAAATATAGTAATACGTACCTTTACTTTCTTTCAAATATCTTTCTCTGAATCTTGCATCTGGTCCCATAGAAATGAATACTATTTTCTTTGACTCCCCCTAGTGGTCTGGAGCACTTCCGTTTTCAACACTTTTTGTTTGCTGCATTTCATTCGGGGGTGTTTTCTTTTTTGTTTGCTGCATTTCATTCGGGGGTGTCTTCTTTTTTGTTTGCGTCTCTCATTTTGTTTGCTGCATTTCATTCGGGGGTGTCTTCTTTTTTGTTTGCTGCATTTTATTTGCTTTTTGTTTGCCGCATTTAATTTGTGAGCGTGTCTTTTTTTTGTTTGCATGTTTTCTCTTTTGCTGCGCATTTGCACCTGTCGGCCACCGTATGTGACACTGTAATGACAATGACAATAAAGAAAGAAGGAAAAAAAAGAACAATGGGTTCGATTAACATTAAAACAGATCCAGATACCCATCTATAAGCATACCAATATTAGAGATTTTAAATGCAGGCTGATATAATCTGATGTTAGTTTAGCGGAAAAGGAAATGGAAATAGAAACAACAGCTTCATGTAAAACGCACTGAATGGGATCTCCCATATCTGATCCAGGGAGCAGATCAGTGCATCTTTAATCTTAATTTCATATTTTCCTTATCTTGTGCTGCCTATGTTTTAATCATACCAACAGTTTTACTCAAAACAAGTTCCTAAGTGAGTTGCCAGCAAAAAAGCAACAGCAGTATAGCTGTTCAATAAATAATGTTTAAAAACCGTGAAATCATGTAATATGGCCTAGAACAGAAGGAGGGTGCCTCGCCTCCTTGAGCCCTAATGTGAATATATCTGTTGGTCCTAACAGTTTGTCAAGTCCAGCTTATGATAAAGCAAATTTAAAAACAACTGGTTAGAGAAAAGTTGGCAGGCGATAAGCCATGATAACTAGTTGCATCTCACCACAAAACTAAAAGAAAATACTGAAATTCAAATTCCAGCAAAAAAAAAAAAAAAATAAGAAAAACTGGAAAATAATAAAAATTTAAAATTAAAGAAGTTTTGAGCAAAAACAAAATATATACTTTATTATATTTATGGATCCAAATAAGTTTCCTGCCTTTAAGTCAAGAACTGGCAGGCCCCGAGCACACGCTGCTGAATATAAGATTTGACAGATTGTGATGGAACTCAGGGGCTGACTCAACAGGCAGCTCTGCCGTCATTAGTTGACCTCAACATCTGACCCTTGACCTTGTTGTGTAACACAGCACAGCATCACAGATCCACATGTCAGTGCTGTCATACCCTGAGTTTCTGGTCTAAGAAAAAAAAAAGTGGCCACATGGTGCTAGCCTCCCAGAACCAGTCAAGTTCATGGAGCAAAACTGCTTTCCTAGAAGTACTAAGAAAAAAAAACACAACCATATAATCTTCATCAGAGAACATAAATTACAGGTTGGAAATGTATGGATTGTCTACGCAAAAATAACCCTAATAATTGATACGTCTATACATGTCTAAGGATGGCAAAGAGTTTATTCAGCTCCCTCAAAAGAAAAAAAAAATAGAAAAATCTGACAATTATCTTTTTTTTTTGAGCGAATAGCAGTGGTAAACCTTGAAACAATGACAACTAACATTCATGTTTAAGCTAAACAATCTCAGCAGCAACAATTAATTTAGTTGTCTATGACCATCAAAGATTTCTGTCCGAAATGCTGCCAGATAGACAACAGTCATTATTTCCCTTTCAGGGTCTCTCAATGGCTCCCTGAACATTAAGATAACATTTTAAACTGCTTTTTGAACCATATTCATGTCATTTAGCCAAGGTTTTTAAACAAAAACAATGATTCTTTGTTTGCTTTCGTGTTTTTTTTCCAGAAACTTCTCAAACATGATGTAATCGTACAGAACAAGAAAGGTTGAAATTATGCAAATATGCGCATTATTGTTTCCCAGTAAAGTATCTGAGTATGCAAAAAGTCCAGAATCCAGCTGATCATAATGGTCTTTATTGAAGCTTCTCATCAGATCTTTTTACCTTTATGATAAGCCATCTACCCCCCCCCCCCCCCCCCCAAAAAAAAATATATATATAAATAATTGTAGAGAGCCAAATTTTAGTGTGTATTTAAATAATTTTACAATATATATTTTTAATAATTTTACATACATTTTACTTCTTAACCATAATGTTTTTATGTAATTGGTATTGTAATTTAATCTTGTGATTTTATACTTGTGTTTATTTTTAAGGTTGCCTTTTTAATATCTGGCTGGGGGACTACCGATGAAAATTAGCACTCCTTAGCTAACTCGGGTATATTTACATTGTTTTAATGTTTATTAATGTACACTGTCCCCTTTCAAATAATAAATGAAATGAAATGAAATGCTTTTTTGCTGACACTAAAATTAAAGCAGAAAGTCCGTAAATAGTCTTTTTCTTTATTGTCCCTTGCTGCAGACCTGAGACGAGGCTGATATTATTATTGTTTTTAAAGCAGACCATCTCTGTTTCGTTTCCCAAAAACTAATTTATATTCATTAATGTGAAGATTTGAAGATTATTCATTTCTAATTTCGCCAAATGTTCATACGTTCCTTTTCAGTGAGTCTTCATTTTAATTCAAAGTAGCATCATGAACTGATTTTTTTGTTTGGTTTTAGATTACACCAGGGTTAGAAGTAATTATTTTGAAATCAATTATTTTTTCAATTATTCGAATAATAATCAGATAACAAAAGGTTTCTTAAAGAAGACTTTTTTCAAAGTTAAACCAGGTGAAACTTAAGCTTTTCGACTCGAGGAGTTTTGGATAGAGCATACTGACAGACGAAAAAAAGCTTTTTATTCAAAATGTTTATATTTTTTGGGTATATGTGCTGTTCAGGGGTTGGTGGATCTGTCACCTAAAGGCATATTTTACAGTCTCTAAACTCCAATACATGATTTATCAATTACTAAATTAATTGACGATTATTATGATAATCGATTAACCCGTTTAATTGTTTCAGCCTTTGTTTATACCAAACCTCTTTTTATTCAATAATATCTTTCTTTCCATTTTATTTACCCTGATGTTTCACACTGTTCAAAATTCATAATCTGTGATTCTTAGAATTTGGATGTCTTCCTCCATAATAATCTCCTCTTCATCATCAAATACAGAATCATATCTGCCGAATCCATCTCTTATCACAAATTCTGCCCCTTATTCCCCAAGGCTCATTGTTTGTTTTGGTTTCCATTTTCTTTACATTTCTACTCAAGGCATTTTTTTTTTTTTTTTTTTTTTTTACTTCCTGTATAAAATGTGCTTTACATAAAAAGTGACTGATTATCTGATTGAGATAATGGATATTTTTTAATTTAAGAAAAGTTAAATTAATGTTTATTCAACTGTTGAATGTTTTTTTCTGAAAATCCTATGATTTCAACAACTTTTGTTTTATTTAGTAAAACATAAAGGACATTGATTCGACACCCATTTCTTTCTAATGAGATCATTTTCCCATTAAAAAAAAACACCTCTATCAGTGTAGATCAAGCCATTTGGTTCGCCCCTTGAAGACATCAAACAACAGATGACTTTTTTGTTGTGTCGTCATTGTTGGTTCCATACATCCAATCAACATTAATAGTGTTGATCCTGATGCGTGACTGGGCTCTGGGTCACGCCGTGGTCAGGGAGGTGGGGGTGGAGGTGGAGTAGGGACTCTATCACCATGACTTGACATGCTCAAAGGACCAACTTCTCTTTCATCATACCAGGGGTCAGAGTTTTATTGCTTCACAGAGCCGGCCCGTATATAGCACAGAGCAAGCAGAGGACTACAGCAGCCATCTGATTAGAATTATCTCTCAAACAGAGCAAAAAAAAACATCCAATCAGCTGGATCTGATCTGAATCTGTCCATGCAGCCAAAAGACTGTCCAAGGAAAAGGTGGCTACAGCCAAACAACTCTGATATTAAATCGATATCACAAAAATCTCAGAAATTTTGAAACTTCCCTGTTTTTTTATTAATCATCGATTTTATAAAAATCAAACCATATGGTTCTTACTTGGTTTCTAACTGGTGACCAGAGGAAATGTTCATTGTCAGGGAAAAATGCTTATTTTTATTTTTATATTTATCAAAAAATACATTTAATAGCAAACATGTAGAATTTGTAATGTTAATTATTAAACCCTTCCAAAGATGCTATTCTGGGTATTTATCTTAAGAAAACAGCAGTTTAAACCAGACCACTTCATTCCTGGTAATTATACATTTTTGATGCAAATATTATAAAGATGAAATTGATTATTAAAAATTTTCTCCACACTTTCCTTATTTTTTCTATTTCCTTTGATTTTTGTACAGTTTCTACTTTAGTCAGTTAAATAACAACAAATAAATAACCTGCTGTTGTCCTTTTGCACATCTCTGATGTTTCTGCTATTTTCAAATATCCATTACTGTAAAAATGTCCATAGCTGTATACTGGTTATTCTCCAGGTGCAGTGTTTTAATATAGTTAAAACAATGTTCAGTATTATACATTATACATTTTTATAAAGGTCCACCTTGTGGGACATATTTTTCTATGATCTTTTTCCTGTAAACACAAGAGCACAAGAATTTCCCCAATGTTGGACAATAAAGGGATTTTCTATTTTATTTCTATTCTATTTTATCATCACACAGTATCCTTTAAACTCATACAGATCTATAGAGATCTGTTCATCTGTACAACAGATCCATCTGAAAAAACAAAACAAAAAAATATCAGTGCATTTTTTTTTTTTTTTTTTTTTTACACATTTGCCTTTTCTGTGGACTTTAAAAATACTGCCTTGTTTAACCTGGTCCAAACATATTGCTAGTGACAGCAGGTTCCAGCACTTACAGTATGAAAGCGTGTTTACATTTATAAAAACTGTAGATCGATGCTGATCGCTTCTCCGGTAACTCAGACTTTGAGGTGAAACTTAGCTGGCCTCCTTTTGTCCACAATAAAAAATATCCTAAACCCCAAACTTGCTCTTATATAACCCCCACGGCCCAACAACTGTATCCATCAGAGCTGCAGCCTCACAGGAAGGCCCTCACTGCACTACATACCAAGTTCAGAGTTTTACAGCTGCCCATAAACTCATCCTCCACCCAAATTCAAACTCAAACTGAAGACATTTATTGCCTCTAGCTTGGCTCCG